GTTACTAAGGTTTTTGTGATATTTTGCAGCTACAAAATTACATAGTGACCAAAGCACAGCACACAAAACTGTAGGATGGGTATGGTATACATTGGATGGTAGCATGGACTTGTGGAAGAGGAGAAATAGTAGTGGTGGGATATGTGAAATATGGGAGCATTGTCTATATCCTCTTTCATACTGAATGCTCTCTGCCCATGAGAAGGTACGGATGTATTTGCAAAGGAAATAGTTGATGGGGTGAAGATGATTCAGGTACCTGGATCTGACCACTGTAAATACCAGGACAAAACATGAGATACAGGGAAGGAGTAGGTTGCAGGCCGGTCAGAGTTGCTGATGGGAAGAAGAGGAGGTTAGTGAAGATTATTTTTGTTCCAGATAGCATCCCAGGTACTGGCATTGGATTTCTTGCTCAAATCTCACTTGTCTACAGTTCTGTTTTTGTAGACAGTCAGCTATATTCTGAATAGATGTGTTTCTCACACAAATCTGCTACATTTATGTCTAATATTAAAGAGATCTTGTAAGAGCTTCAGCAGAGACAGATGGTAATTGATTGGGCCATGTCTAGCCTCCTCCACACTGAGTTCTCGAGGGCTGAATTTTGAGTAGAACTAAGATAATGAGCTGCATATTTCAGGATCTTCTCCTGTCATTTGTGGGACTTTTGGCTATGGCATACCAGGCTTGCCAGTTGCTGTGACGAACATTTTTTTGGCATGTGGAAATAGCCATTCATTATAATACTAAAAATGTTTGCATAGCTTGGGCTCCTGAACAGCACAGCAGAGACTTCAAGTGCTTTTTCAGTTGTTTTACCTTACTGTGGGTTTGAGGAACTTGTTCTTCAGCCAAATACACGTTTTTTGAGCTGGTTTGGCTTATACAAAAAACCCATCATGTCTTCAGCTATCTTGCATGTAATGAAACCTCTCCCCCCCTCCCCTCTGACCTCTTCTTCTTGCCCCCCCAAGTCAACTTTTTTGTCAACCCACAGGGAACTCACTGGAGTTTGTGCTCTGGCAGGATCTGAGAAGTTCCAGTGATAACAAACACACCCACAACAGCTAACGGTGTTTTCAACAGGACTTGAGATGAATAATAAATTCATTCAAAGGAATCTAACTGCACAGCTGATGCTGGCTTCAAGTTTCTTGTCTTCCTGATCTTGATCAGAACATTTAGCACACCAAGTCCTTAACTTGATGCAGCATCCTGAATGAAAGGTGTTGTGGCTCTAATATCTTTCTTACACTTGAATTTGTTATCCCCATCCAACACCATCAGAATGCTGTGAGGCCGTTACATCAGGTCATGCAGCCCAAAGTAGTGGGGTGGGGTTGGGGATTGGGCAAAGCCAGTGCTGGTAACTCTAGGGCTAGTGTCTTTCTTAGTTTAATAGGGCTGCTAATATTTGACTGACTTTTCAAAGGTCTGAATCCTCATTCTGCAGATCTTATGTGCATGTTTTATTTGTGGGTTTGTTTTTTTTTTTTTAAAAAAAAAAAAAACCTTCTGCTACAAGAACTTCTAATATGTGGGTCCATTAAGGAAAACCTATTGAGAGGTGTTGTGAGTTGTCCACTGCTCTTAGCACTAATAGTGTAAAGGACATGCCACATCCCTCTCCTTCTGCAGGCAGGTCTGCAGAAGCTAGTGCAGAGTCTGCTTGGGATAACCCAGAGGGATCTGTGCTCTCAGACGCGGGGGCAACAGACAATTGTCCATACTGACATAGCCCAAGGTGAGTGTAACACTGCATGCTATACCTGTTTGCCATAACTGGTGTGTGGCACTGAGCAGGTGGCCTCTGTGGCTTCTGGGGTGACATCTTTGGCTGCCTGGCTAGGCGGAGCACTGTGTGTTCTCAGGGATTGGAACTATCCTTTTTCGATAGTGTTTTCTACTCCAACCCACTTGGAATTGCTTGCACTGGGGTGCCAGGGTTAGAAACGAATATACACTCTCCTGAGAGGTGCTAATAATTAGGATTACAAGTTTAGGGGAAGAAGTGCAAGGCAGAGGAGGTATGAGAACTATTTAGGACTGATGTAGACTTTTGTTGCTTGTTCTAGAAATGTAGGTCCTTACTGCTTTCATGTGTGCAAGGTAGTTAAGCACTAGCAAGCTGCTTGGAAGTGCTCGATGTCTGCAAACTTAAAATGCTGCTGTTACCACCTGTCAAGACAAAATAGGCCAAAATACAGAGTGAGCAGCACAGTCCGTTGCATAGCTATTGCCCCTGAGGTGTTAAGCACCACAGTCAAAATGTGGAGACTTCGGCCATGTGGGGAGCACAGATTGCCAGGACAGCTGTCCGCTGTCAGGAGCTGTGGACAACAAACAGCCTGGCTCAGATGGGTCCTGAGCCAGTGTAGTTACTGCAAAAGCTTGAATAACAGAAAGTGACTCTGTGCCATTGGATTCTTCTTGAGCAAGGGCAGTCCTGGGTCTGTATCCCAGAGAGTATCCCAGAGTGTCCTGCCAGCTATGGAACGCAGCTGATGCTTCATCTTGGGAACAAGGGTTTGGCTCCCTGGTATGAAAGAGCTCTGTGGCTGCTCATGTGATGGCTGCTCTTCATCTATGTATTTGCACCCTTCTGAATGATGCTACAGCTTGTTTTCTGTTGCCTGGAGTTCACTGGTGTTTTCATTTCGAAGGGGTTGGGAATGCTAGCTTCCTTATCGAGATGCTAAGCTAATTCTAAGGTATGATGAGTAGAAAGTATTCCTGCCAGCTCTTGATTTTTGTAGATGGTCTGCAGGTTTTAGCTTGTATTTGTGGTTGCAGGTGGCTCCAAGTGAACTTCTTCATGATGGTGTTCTAATTCTGTTCTTAGAAGACCGGTAACAAGCGTGCATTCTTTAGTTATATCTCACTGATGCAGATCATTTAAATAAGAGAGAAACAGACTATCCAGTAGGAGTATCTGTATTTAATTGTGCATTAAACAATGAACAGAATATGATCTTTGCATCCAGTAAGCACAAAGAATGTAGGTCAAAAGATTCTCAGGAAAAATCTGTTTATATGGTTATCTTACAGAAACTTAACTTTTCCACTCCTCCCCTTTTCTGAGCTTGCTGCTTGGTTTTGTAATTGTGTCTATTCCAGAATCTTTCCTTCTTCTGTTGCTTCCCTTCCTCTCCTGCCCTGGGTGGCAGGTAGGTACATGTCCTCTTTGGCAGAGCTGAACCAGAGGCCTGGGGATGTGCAGTTCCTCGTTTCCTTTTTTCCACATTTGGAATTGGCATTTATCTCGTTCCACAGCCTTCCCCTAGCCCATGAAATCTCTTGCACACCTTTCCTTAGTTTCTAGCTGTGTGCTGTGATATATAAAACAGAACACAGTGTATGCATGATAGAGCATCTTCCAAATTGCTCTCCTGAGGCAAGCTAAGAGGAAGAAAAAGACAGTTTGCCTTCTCAGAAGAGCTGTACAGTCTCCCCTGGGGTTGTGCATGGGAGTATGTTATTGGAAACCATTGCAGAGGTGTTAGGGCTGTACCAGGGAGGAGAGCACCGTAACTGTTGGTATAAATTGAACTTCATCCTTGTGTGAAACACTGTCACTCTCTGCTGACATTTTGGCTTCAGTCAGCTCTTCTGCAGGTGTTTGCAGAAAAGCAGCTCTGGCCTTCCTTTGTCCCTGCTTTCCCATTTCATAAGTACAGTAGAAATGCATCATTTTGTGTTTGCCCTTGGGACCATTATAAAGTGACCTGTGAGTTCAGGAGTAATGCAGTGAACATGACAGTTCATTCTACTATAGCCATGATACTACATGTGCCAGCATCTTCACTCATGAGAGGATATATTCATCTTAAATGATGGTAGAGTGAGTAATAGAAAAAGGAGAGAAATGGAGTAATTGTGCTGGAGCTTGGTAAAAGTTAGATGGAAAATAGCTCTGTAACCAGTTAGAAAAAAAAAAATGAACACTTCAGAGAATTAAATGCCCACTGCATGACTCCATTAGTAAAACATAAGCACCCTTGTTGTCATAGTGGCACTGCTCTCTTGCAACCACCTACTTGCTGGTTTGTGTCTTGAAAAATGACCAAAATACATGGTGCCATACTGAGCTCTTGCTCTTCATTGTGGGTCAATTCTGTGCAACTCCTGTTGGGCCATACACTGCCAGCACATGGTGGGTGCTCACTAGACAGGAGATCTTCTGCAGGAGGGAAGCCCAAAGCAAGCTAGGAATTATATTATGTTTTTGCTTCCTTTGTGCTGAACTTGGGTTTTCTTGGGATGCCTCTGCCCTGACCGAACGCTTGGTATATTTTAAAACGTGTTTGTTCCTGCAGACCTACACGAAAATAGTAAGTTTTCACTGATAAAACAGATCCTATACCCCATGCTTAGCCACTGCCTGGCAATGCATATGTAAATGTACTGTGAAGTGGAATTAATTGCTGAGATCTTGCTACTGAGGTATTGCTTTGAGCTCTAGTAGGTAGGCCTAGTAAAATTCCACAGCACGTAAGAGACTGTGCATATTAATTTTTCAATTAAAGCAGCATAGTATGTCAAACTTATACTTTCTAGTCTATCTATGCTCAACCAGTCCTATTTGGCAGGTTTATTACTTGCTGGTTTTGTGAATTCTTCCACTTGATTGCTGACACTGGGCTATGAATTAATATGATCTACATAAAGGTAATAAGAAGCACAGAGTTTTTTGACCAGAAATAAATCATGTTTGGCTCCTGGCCTACCTCGTTTGGCAGGGTTCATTGGAAGTCCATGCAAAAGCATGCTAAATCCTGCAGTGGCAAATATTCTTGTACTTTTGAGTTTTTAAAAGGATTTTGAGAGAACATGAAGTGACAGCTGAGCAGAAAGTGAATTCCTCTATAGTGACAGCTACATGCAGAAGCAATGAGAGTTTCCTTTGCCTTCTACAATCAAACCAATGAAATGCAAGTCTTTGGATTCTGCATATATTAAAGCATATTAACTTTTTTTCTCCTTTCCTATGTATGCAGGAGGCAGACAGTGGGGAAGAAGAATGCCGGTCCCAGCCCAGGAGGTAAGATTGTCACTTGAGACTTGTAAGAGTCCTCAAGGATACCTTTCTGTGTGAAATGTTCCACATGGGTTTTTGTTGTTCTGGCATGTTCTGCAAAAGTTCATCATTTTCCGCCTATTATTAATGTTGCACAACTGTACTGAAAAATATATTTAATATGGCCTAAATGAAGGGGTTGCTGCAGCAGGAAATGGGAAAAGTCAGATTACACTCTAAAAATATATATATAGGGAACAGTTTGCAAAGATGTCAGTGAGTGTATTCTCCAAACTGTTGTTTGCATCCAGGAAGGGGGTGTCCTGCCTGCGGACATGTTCTGAATAACACGGTGATACTCCACTTCTCTGTGCATTTGGAGACTTTGCTTATATCTTAGGAACAAATTCTGGTTGTGTTGTTCCTTAGCTCCCTCCACTGTCGTACGTTGTTTCTCAGGATTTGGTCCCTCATCAACATATTCTGAGAGGAATAACCATCTCTGGCTAAAAAGTCTCTGTTGGCATCAAGAGCTGAATTGGATTACTCTAGTTAGCAGGAGTATCTCAGGAGAGACTTCAGCGGTGATAGACATCCTCTAGCTGTGTTTCTTCTCCTGGTTAGGCCCTTGTGTACATCTCTGGGATTTGTGAAAAGTTGTACTTGTAGAAGCTGAAGTACAGGGTGTTCCTGTGCCTGTAAAGGACACCTTCTGCTTTAAATACCATGTTCAGTGGATGCATAGATATTTGCTACTGATGCAGGTAGTCAAACATGTACTCCAAAGTTAGAAGAACACTGAGAATTTGCAGGGATTTTTTTTTAAATTGGGATTGGTTTGAATTGAGATGTTCACCTTTTGTAAATGCTGATTTCAGTTGCTTCAGGAAGAACCTTTTTTGAGAAATGCTTATCCCTAAAAAACAAACAAACATTGAAACTCAGCTGACTGAACAGTGACAAGTACTAATGGTGGTTTTATAATGCAGTTGTAGCCTTAAGGGTAGACATCTTGACGTGTTGTAAGCTTTGTCTCCTATCTTCTGAGCCATCAAAAGAATTATTTTAGCTAAATTTAATAAAGGCAAAAACTGTATAGAGCAGAAAGTGCTCCTGCTGCTAGAGAAGTTTTCTTGGCTTAAAATGTTGCAGTCAGATTTTATGAAAGACATAAGATTACCTCCAGAGGGAGTAAAGGGAAAGTGAAGGTGGAATAGTTCTCCCTTTGAGCTCTTTGCCTGTTACAATTCTTTGCTTAATGTTGTTTGTGAGTAGATAACAACAGAAGCTGTAATTTCTAGTATTTAAAAGACTTGAACAAGATTTAGTCTTTGGGTTTGTGGTCAACTTGGTTGAATCTGCAAAAGAAAAAGCTGTTCTGGCTGCACGTTCCCATGATCTCAGTGTAGTTCTGCAGTTGTGTGGCCTGGAGAAGGTGAGTTGTCTCTTTCCTTCAGTCTTCTACACTTAAATGATGATTTAAGAATTGCTGTTTCTTCATTTTACAACTTTCATGACTGAGAGGAAAGCTGGAAAGCACAATTCCCAAAAGCTCAAACTGAACTCAGCTTAACTCTGATTTTTAATTTCACTCGCAGCCTTCCAGCAGTCACAAGATCAACTCATGACTTGGTCTCAGTATACATAATGTATTGGAGGGGATGGGAGGTATTTAATTGTTGTAGGCACTTAGCAACAATTGTAGGTTAGGTTTGAAAGGAGCATTTTTTAATACATTTTAAATAACTTCCTGGGGTAGGAACTGACAATCTGCTGTTGATATGGTGATCTGAACTCCATGACTCCTGTTGCTGGGGTCAGAAAGCTAACTGAAACCAAGAACCTTCTTAGGGAAAACAAGGGGGTGGGTGTTAAATGTGTTTGATTACAGTAGGCTAAAAATAATACAGTCAAATGTGATAAGTAGTCAATGTGGTGTCCTGCTGTGGAAGAGCAGCAGATGTCTATAAACAGCTTTTGAGTGTATCTAATCCCAAATTTTCAAGGGAAACATAGCAAGTAGTAGTTATTAAAAATCCAGACAGTAAAAGGCAGTGGACTGAGTTTGGCTTTAAAAGCAAAGGTATGTTACCAGCTGCAGTGTGACCGATGCAGCACTGTGCAGCAGCCTGACATTCCTAGCTGCCTGCCTGGGCAAGGCCAGGTCGGTGGAGTTCTCCGGAGGCATAACTCAGGTGACCTGGCTGTAGCTACAGTCAGTGTTTGGGGTGGGATTTTTGGTATGTGTAAAATGCATCTGATGAGTCCTTTTGTCTCCTGCACTCATGTAAAATTTGTTCAAGCACTACCTCAGGGTAGCATGGTTGGCATCAAGCGTGCCCAAACTCATCCTGTTAATTGGTCCTGTTAACTGAACAGTGAATGCAAGGGTACTACTGTGGCTAAAAGCATGTTTGGGTTAATAAATTAACTTTTCGATATTTATTCAATAGGATGTTAGAGCATAGAGATATTCATGCTTGCAAGGGAATTAGCTTAAAACGTAAGCATAAGCACATAGACGTGTTTGGTGACAGAAGATTTCTGCAGTGATCAGTCTTGAAGACCACTGAGTACAACCTTCATTTCCATCCTAAGTCTCCGTGTCTCTGCACAGTCTGGGGATGGCTGTCTCAAAAAGTGACAACTGTTCCGTTTAGATCCAGCTCAACAGCATTGCTGGTCTGGTGGCTAGCAATTTCTAGATAGCTTCTTGTGTTAGGTTTCTGCTGTTTATCTTTTCTCACAGATAAGGGATATATATTGAGGTGAAGGGGAACATGCAGAGAAGACTGGCAGTAGGACAGTGGGAGTGACTAGTGCTTGTTGAGCAGAGGCTATAATGAGCAACCAGTCTAAAATGTCCTCCAAAGAGGCAGAGAAATGAGTTTCAAACAGAAGCTTAAACTTGTAGGTACATACATCAAGATCATCATACCTAAAACAAATAATCTGTCTGGTTACTGACCTGTTTGTGCTCTTTAAGATCTAACACCACCGAGGACTGTGATTGCATGGACTCAAGTCTTGCAGACAAGGGAGAGGAAGCGTGTGAAAATGTTGTTTAAACTTAAACCTGCTCTACAGAGCAGTCAAATGACATGACAAATCTGCACTTGCCACAAGACTGCTTCTGCCAGGACCATCACGGAATGAGGAGTTTTCTGCTTTGTGAATTAACAGAAGCCACTTAAGGCTTTTCTCCAAAAGACAGAAAGAGCTATTAGATGTGCAGAAAGAGAGTTCATGTGTGCTCTGCAGTTATCTTTGCAAGATGCTTGAAACAGTATTTTCTGGCAAACTCTTGTACTGATGCAAAGAGGAATGGTTTGTTTTCCTACTTGAGGAAAGTACTTGGTTGTAGGAAACAGAGACCTCATTTTTATAAAGATTTCTATCTGCTACTAAAAACCACAGCAAGTTAATACTGCAAACAACGTGAAGCTGAGCAAATGGGTAAAAATCAGCTTGGTTTCTGGATTTTTTTTCTTGCACCCAAGCCCTGCTCTGGGGGAAGCCCGGGAGGGTCTCTGTACCCTGCCATAGCTGTGCCCGTTCTTGCAGTTTATGGGGGAGATCCTCAAACCCCTGACGTGGGTCCAAGTCCTTGCTCTGGACTCCCTGATTGAGCCAGTCCTTGTTGCCTAACTCATGTCTAATGGGACTAGGACAGAGTACTGCATAAGCAGATGTCCTGAACAGTCTATTTATTACATTTATTACCTTCACAGCTTCCTTCTAGACATTTTTATTAGGCTATCTGGAGTCTGTACAGCTAGCTGGTCTGCGCATCTCTCCCCCTGTCCCCAGACGTGCTGCTGTCATGCTGAATGCACTCTTAATGGAGCAACTGTGTTAGCAACCTCTTTGCATCATCCCAATATTGTTAAAATTTACCTAAAATATGTGTGTGTATTGAGCTTTGAGTTGTGTTGACACCAACTGATGTACTGACATTCAGGTTTTGTGTGCTCTGTGCCAAGGTTGCAAGGATTCAGCATCTTTGTTTTGCTGACAAACGACATCTCCAGGGCCCGAGGCAGCAGCGGTGCCACAGTCAGTGTTGGATTTGCTGTTGGGATCTGCCAGTTGCTTTTGGGGCTTATGTTTTAAATGGTGCCTCTATTTCCACACTATCTGTGAATTTACCAGTTCTGTGTGCCTTGAAACAGCTCTGTTTGCAGAAATGCAGCATTTGAGGCTGCACAATAACTGCTGCATATAAAATTGGTAAGCTGTTTTGCCTAGCGAGGCTGCTGGGGACTTCAGAGGAATTCTTTGAACTTTTATGGCCTGGCACTTGGTCAGACTAAAGTCCGCTTGCTTAGGTAAAGCTGAGGAGCCTGTTATTCCCTTCAGGTGCCATAGAAAGTGATTAGGTCCTGCTTGAAATCCAGGGTTTGTTACCTGAAAATGTTCTCAAAAAGTTCTTGTCCTCCCCTCTTTAAGTGGGGGTGGGAGGGTGATGTTTAAAAAGAAAAAAAAAAACAAAAACTTTTTGCAACCTAAGTATGCTTACCTTCTGGTTTGTTTTTTTTTAGTCAAAATAGTTCCTTCCAGGAGTGAACTGGGAAGGAAAGTAAATCAGATTATTGCCATGATAACAGTTGGATGTGCCAAGATGCCTCAAGATTTCAAGCTGTGAGTAAATACCTTTGTTTTAGGAGCGGAAGACCACAGTCTGATACAGGAGTTTATGGTTTATAACAGTATAAAAGTTGTTTTTCAAATAGTAAATGGAATTTGTGCATGTGTTTCCTTGTATAGCACAACAGCTCACTAAATTGTAAACCAACTTGTTTGATTTTTGAACTGAGACCCATTGTAAGCTTCTTTCCACCTGAGGGTTATGGGAGATGCGTGCTAGTCCCTGGGAGAGAGAGGGGAATGATTCTCTGATACTGAATTGACTGCACTTCAGAAGGCTCATTTACAGGCCAGATTGAGATGTGTGAACCTGCAGCATCCTGTATCTGTTGTGACTTTTGGAGATGTGTATCATTGCCATTTGGTGTTCCTGTGGC